TCCTCATCAGTCTCCCTCCGTCGTCCTCGTTATCGGCGTCGGCATTGTCGTCTTCAGTGGTCGGTGTTTCCACCGTCGTCTTCGTTATCATGAGCAGCGTTGCTTACTTGCACGAATCGTCGTCGGCTGGGTCCGCCCCCCTGTCGCTGCCGCCGTCGTGGCGGCGCTTGCCGCGCCCGCCCCCCGTCGTCATCGGTGCCCCCATCCATGGCCGTCTTGGCGTAGGCGATGTTCAGGAGGAACCTTTCATTGACCCATCGGCCGATGGCCGACGACGCGGCAGAAGAGGCTGGAGACCTTGCGGGCGCCGCGCCAGTAGTGGATGGCGACGCGACCCAGGACCCCGAAGTGCCGCATTCGAGCTTGGTCAGCATGGCTTGTGCGGATGACCAGTTCTTCTTGCATAATTTGGTCACTGATGAGAATGTGTTGTTGGACGCCACCTTCCTTTCTGGATGGGGCCTGGAGCCCCGCGGCGACGCCGCGTGGGTATTGAGTTTCCACGGGGGTGCTTGCTCGATTTGGCATGGGAGTCGCCGATTTCGTTGGGCTCAAGAGGCATTTCAACCCGGACTTTTCGAAACAGCCGGCGGTGCTTGGTACGTGGCTGGTCCAGCCCTTGATGCGCCAGAGTGGTTTTTTTTCCCTTGCGGAGTCGTTGCAGTTCAAATACGTCGGCTTCAACATTGCGGCGACGGAGGCATCCACCTTGATTGTGAAAGTCTTCCACGTGCCCAACCGCGCTCGTGGCTCAGCTCACCGGTTCACCATGCGGAGCTTGTGCACTTGGAAATCATGGGGCAAGGACCTGGTGGCAACGGCTGTTCGGGACAGTATTCGTAATTGGGAAAATTCGGGCAGCGCGAATCTGCACTTGTCGGTTGGCACTCTGATTTTTCTCCTGGCAGGGTTCGGCCTGGGGCGCTGGCCAGGCAGTTCGGCGAGGAGTCGGTGTCCAGCACTGGGCTTATCATCGCATTGTTGATGTTGAGTATTAGGCACAAGGGTGTCAGCAAGGCAGCTTTTGCAACGTCGTATGAGGTAGCGCTGTGGGCGGTGCTCGCACAGTTGTGCAAAAGGCCCGATGAGCATGCGCATCGCTGCTGATCCAGGCGTATTCATCGATACTTCGAGTTCAGCACCGCCTGTGCCATGCCATAGATTTCAAGTTGCCCCCGCCCCCAAGGAGGCGCAAGTGGGCCCAGAGAGCGGCCAATCGGCCCCCAGGATTACCGAACGTGCTTCCCAGGGGGACCTAGATACCATCGGGTGCCGAGCGGCGCCCCTAGAGATGACCAGAAGGGCATGGGGGCGGCCGAAAGACGTGCCGCGCTGGCCCGAATAGTATCGAAACGTACAGAGGAACGCGAGATACCGCATGCGGGCTCCAGGAGGGCCCCGAGATACCGCATTATGACGTGACTGCCCAGAAACGCAAAGCTTCAACGTGCTCGCCTTTCGGGCGCCCCACATTCCAGGGCGGGCCGCGGGGGACTTGCGAATCCCCCCGCGGCGGCCAGGTACCAGTGCCACCCAGGGGGGTGCAAGACGGCCCAAGAGGGCCCCGAGACGGCCCAAATGTTCCAACATGACAATGGGGGTCCCTAGATCGGCCATGGGGCTCCCAAGGCGGGCGAAGAGGCTTCCAACGCTGCTGGTGATGCCAACGCCCCATGCTCCCGCAACTGGCCATCGGTAGACCCAGCTATGGCCAGATGACAGTCCAAGGGCAGCCCACGACGGCCGAGCACGTCATCAACGACGCAAGAGGAGGGCCCCTTCACGCGCGCGCGTGAACAAGCACACGCGCAACAATAACGCAAGCACACGCAAGACCGCGGTCACCGCGCCAGCCCTGCTCGGCATACCAGCGCGACAGAGCATCCCACACGAGCTGCTGTCAAAACGCACTGTGCACACTGATGGTACCAACGGCTTTAAAACTCCAACAGGCATTTTTTTTTTTTTTTTTTTTTTTTTTTTTTTTTTTTTTTTTTTTTTTTTTTTTTTTTTTTTTTTTTTTTTTTTCTCTCCATTTTCGATCAACGTTTTGCGTGGGGCATCATCGCACTTTTCATTTTTTGATCAATACATCTTGTGCTTTCACTTCAACATTTTTGGATCGACGGTTTTTGCTTGGCCAAAAATACTTTGAGCCACTGCTCGCGCTGCCGCTTTTGCAGGCCCTGTGCTTTGCGCCGATTGCGCTAAGTCCCCCCCCCCCCGCCTCCCCGTGCGTTCGAGCCCACCCCCCCGCCCCCCTTCCGCCCCGCGCCCCCGCGGCCCCGCGCGGCTGCGCTAAAGTTCCCCCCCCTTTCTTCCCCCCCCCACTCCCCCCCTCGCGCAAACCCAGCGCTGGCCTCGCGCGGCTGTGCCGGCCACTTCCGGCCCCTTCCAGCACCCACCACCGCGTCCGCACCCCCCCCCCGCCCGACCCTTCCCGCCCCCCCCCCCCTTCCGCAGCGCGCGCGCAACCGCGGCCACGACCGTGCCCGCCGCGCTTGGGCCCCGCGGCCCGCCCAAACGGCGAGCATAGGTCGGGCGTGGCCCCGCGCGCATGTGGATGTCCAGCCTGTCTCCCCCCTTAAGCGTGCTCGTCGTCGTTTCGTGGCAGCCTAGCTTAATCAAGCTGCTGCTTCTTGGGTGCGCCGTGGGTCACGCGCTCAACATTTGGATGCGTCATGGGTTCCCGAGCTGGTGGTCACCTTGGGCCATATTGGGCCATAGTGGGTAATCTTGGGGCCATCCTGGGCCATGCTGGGGCCAGCATGGGACTACCTCGGCTTCCAATTCGGCTCTTACTTTTAGACTTTTCAGAATGGCGTAAACCCAATGGTTTTCCATAGTCGAGAGTAATAGCCATTTTGCACTTCCAATCTGCCCCGACGGAGCCATCTTGGGGCCAGCTAGGGCCATATAGAGGCAATCTTGTGGCCATATGGGGCCATATTGGTGCCAGCTTGGGCAGTGTTGGGGCCATCTTGGGATTGCATTGGCTTCCAATTCGGCTCTTGCTCAGACGTTTCAGGGTGGTGTGAATTTGGGTTTTCC